AATCTGAAGAAGTTAAAACTCCAAGATCTTTCTCTGCTTCAATACATTCAAGTGTAACACCACTAAATACATATTCTTGAAGGGGATTTTCATTAAATGGAACATGCATTATTTTGCATTTGCTAGGATTAAACTTTAACAGCCACACATTTTGCCAGTTTTGCAAGCTTTCTAACATATTGAAAGTGCTTTCAGTGCCATTGGCATCCATAATAACTTTAAGATCATCTGCAAACAGTTTTGATATACCATTAATACAATCAGGCAAGTCATTGGGTCAGAGTCAAGAACAACTGACCCATGCACCAAACCTGGCGAGAAGAAGAAAGGCAGACCCTGCCAAACTTGTCACCTTGTCAGTGGCAATTCCATGGTCTCCAATAATGGACACTCAGTCAGAACTCAAGGTGGTAACTGTAAGACACGCAACATTGTGTACGGCGCGACATGCAAACTTTGTACTGTTAATAACGTATACGTGGGAAAAACAGTCACCAGCCTCAGCCAACGTGTGAATGGTCATCGCAGTAAATATTATGAGATTTTAGAGGCGAGTAGTAAGGGGAATGTTGAGAGCCATAGAGTTTTTGATGACGAGAATGTTTTAGGGGCACATCTTTTTTCAGTTCATAATTTGAGGGAGAGATCTGTTTTCAATGAAAGTTTCCATTTTGATATTTTGTGTTCTACATCCCCAGATAATATTAGAAAGTCAGAACAGTTTTATATTAACAAATTGAAGACACTTTATCCGTTTGGCCTGAACAATGTGAATTCCGTTTCTGGAAGCTAATTTTTCATGGTGTCCCGAATTTTATTTTTAAATCGTCCATTTTTTGTTTATATATGCAGTCTATCAATTTTTGAATTGCGTCTTTTTGATTTAATGAACTACTGCAGACTCCACATTATTATAGTATATGCGATTAATTTTGTTCCGATTTTAAACTATTCCATTTTTACGAGATGCTAAATTAATTTTTTGAGACTTTACTACATTTTTGATGAGAAATTTTGACATTTTCAAACTAACCATTGATATTCTCAGATTATGTGACTGATTAAATGCTGAAGATAAAAGAAATATATTCATTTTGCTAAGATTATGTTTGCGTTTCATTGCTCAACAGCTGTTCGAAGGATCAAATATAAGATATTGATTGTTTTGTGGTAAATAAAAATTTTGTTTTATTAAAAAAATTTTGTTTTACTTATTACATAATTGTTTTTATTATTATATAATTAGTAATAAATTATTGCTCTAACCAGAGCCCTCGCGCCCGCTCGACGAAGGCCCATATTTCGGTAAAATAGGTTTACAGCCCATTGTAGCGAAATGCGCTACTGGGCCTCGCCGAGCTGCGATGAAGTGACATCGTCAATTAAATAGCCCACTAAGGCGCGCAACGCTCACCTAACCATGTGCTTTCACGCCGCTGCTTACCTGAGGACCCCAGGCTATTATGTTCATTAACATATATATATATATGTTATTACAAATAAAGATTTGGCGGAATGACAGGCTGAGCGCGGCCCAGTAAGCCGCTGCGGGCACGCTTGTTTCACAAGTCAAGTTTTACCGCCGTTAGGCGGGCACGTGCTGATGCAAGCGCAAGGGCTCTGGATAGAGCAATGCGCAACGAGTAGCTTCGATTTCAAACAAATATTGTAGGTTTATAACCTACCAAGACGCGCGCCGAGTCGGACTCGTCGATAATAATTGGAACAAATATTTTACAAGTATCACCCGTTAAAACAAATAGTGTGCTGGTATAATTTGTTAAATGCAAAATACTGCCGGGATTCCATTGCCTAGGACCCGCACGAGTGCACGGCTCCCACTGTATTGTAGAAACGCTAAACGTTACATATTTAATTGGAATTGGCGTGCCAGGTAATTAAATAATTGTTGTTTCTCAGTTCGACACAACTGCGTGCTTGTATCTGCATCTCACTTCTGCAACACTGAAAACTTATAATATATAAACAAGCTATATAATGGATCGGTTTATTTATGCTAAGGGCACAACCTGTCATTTTGTCAACACCTTGTATCATGTATATATCACCGCTTTTCACTTTATCCATCCACATGCCGCCTAAAGGTGATAGCAACGGGTTAAATTGAATTAATTGCATGATAATAGGCTTAATTGGGGACCACAGGCTATAATCAATAATGTTCATAAAAATAAAAATCCACCGAACAAAGATTCGGCGGAATGGCAGTGGACAGATTGTTAGCGCCGCCTAGTAATAATGAGTTTACAGCTTTTTATGACATTCCATTGGTTTTATTTCGGTTTGTTAACTTGTTTGGTTTTTTGTCCTATTGCCTTTTTATTTATATATTTCTTTTTATTTTCTTTTATAAGCTAGTACTATATAAGTAAAGTAAAGTATAAAAGTAAAATAAAGTAAAATTTATTACATCACATCATTATAACACATATCTACAAAATATCATGGCACTATGTAAAAAAATTTAGTAAATATTTCGCCACCAACATTAATTATTTATCAAATACAATATTGAAAAAAAATGTATCAAAACATTATCCTATTTTAAAAACCTAATCAAACTTTATAAATCGCTTCTTTGCCGCATAAGAATGAAACTTAAGATAATCGTTATGTTTCTCTTAATTACTGACAAGTAACTGGCTCCCTCAATACTTACTAAAACTTCATTAGAAACATTAAAAAAAAGCAATCATTTGTAATATTTTTAGAAATCATATATTTCTTAAATCCTTCTAATTTGATCATAAGTGATAAGTAATAGAGTAAAAGGGTATATTTGGTAATATAGTGTCTTATATATCTGGTAATACGAGCATATATGAAAAATGTACAGCGAGCATAATTAATATTTGCATAGTGCATTGCTAGCAGCTGAAACTTAATATAAAGACAATATAACAGAAAAATCAAATATAACTGGCATATCGTTTTAGTACAAATAATATTTTTGAATATACTACAAGCCTTACCAGTTGTCACCCCAAGCAGTCAACCAGAGCTCAAAAAAGCTTTCACCATTCACGGCGCCTGGGTCCTTTTACTAACTGTGCTAATGAGAGTGACGGTGTGGTCACGCTACTTATGTACCAGCCAGCTGCTAGCATACGCATTTCTTCCTCTGATCTAAGGTCAATTTAGAATAGCATGCTACTCGAAATTTAAATTGGATATTGTTTACTCGGATTTATTGATTGATTGCTTAATAAATTGATGATAAATATTTAAATTGTCTTTTCTTTAAAAAACATTATTTTTTCTCAACTTCGTTTAGTTCATGCATATTATTGTGAACTTTTCTAAGTACAATACTTAAATGTCATGTCTAATGTTACTCCTTTTTTGTTGTTAATACAAATCACCATGAACCATAATCATTACCTGGACAAGTTAAGGTTATGACAGACTGGAAGCCAGTAGCAAAAAAATTATAATTATAGCTTAAATTTTTAGGAATTTTATCTTCTATTTTAAGATCTATCATAGTATTTGTTATTTAAATGCCCATTGTAGCCTATGATAATTAGACTTCCATCATCATCATCATCATCATCATCATGCTCTAACTTTGAGAAGAAGTCCAAGGGGGAACCCTTTACTTAGTATTGGCACCACTGTCATTTAATTTGAATAAGATTACTCTATATAGATCTTAAAGCTGTTCATGTAAATTTTGTGAACTTCATATTTCTGAATCATTGATACTATCACCTTTTCCTATTTCAATTGTATTGCGTCCCCAATGTTTGCATAGGGAATGTTTCATTAATACTTTTGTATCTCAGGCTTATGCTATACTTTCGGATGTTTTATAGCCATGTGCCTAAGTACTTCGATCTATTCTACCTTTGTATTACCTAACAACTTGTGTAATTCCTTACCCCTGATTCACCTTTATTAAATAGAATCTGTGGTGTTTGGCAGGTTGTCTCGTTGTATTTTATTCAAGGAATGAAGTTGAAAGCTACTGATAATAGAGGCTTGCTTCTCCCCTCAGATGTTTGCTGTGAACATCTCACAGCCAAGAGATCTAAAGCAGGCACCTTCTGATATAAGTTTTTAGATGTCCCATAACATCAGAGCATTGTCCTCTTCTCTTATTAGTAAGTAGCAGTTTTATTAGGAGCTCACAATGGAGGCTTATCGGTAGCTTTCAAACTGTTTGTTGTGCGAACAAAATCTGCTCCATCAATTAAAATAATCTGTTGTTCTCTGTGCTTTATCAATTGGTCAGCGCGACCGTGATTTACCCTAACATTTTAATGCATCAGACGTTGAAATAAAGATCTATATTCATTAACTAATAACTTATCAACAAGGCTTAAATAGCGTATTTTATCAACAGTTCATAGAACTGATTTATATGTCCTTCACAGCTTCAGAAGCATCTACAAATAATTTAATAATATCATTATGTAAATTTGATTCTAATATATGAACAATCTAAATCCCAATTTACCGTGGACCCCGATTAACTTCAGGTTTTTCCTTCAGTATACTTTATCTAAATAGTCATATATATCTTCAATAAATGTAATTGATTTTTATTGTTGTAATAAGTTTAAGACATTGAGATATTTAATTCTAAATAAACAGTCTAGCCTTAAATTTAACCTTCCAATTACCATAATGCCCAATTTAGTTGAGTATTGCTTTCAAATCAGTTGATTTAAATAGGCACTTGTTCTAGAGAACAGTAATTGCTAACAATTTGTCTTTCTATAAATAAACTGTGATGCTTATAAAATGCTTATAAAATGATAATTACGGTCTCAGCAGTATCAATTGTAAAACAACGCTGTTTGAACCTGGAGCAAGATCCTGGACAGGGCCAGAAATGTTTTTTGTTACTTTAGCATGGATACTGGATGGGTAAACTGGACTGATGTTATCACAAGATTTGTGTACAGTTTATAAATGCTCTTTTAATTTCAATAGTTAGAGCAATGGAAGAGTTAATCAACCTATTTTATAGGACTAGGATGAATGGGCTCCCACCTTTTGGATCTTTAAGTCTCGTAGATAAAGATAATCAGTCCTACTTACAAGAACTTCATCATGAAAAAGACAGACTGGACGGCAGTTTACGGCACTGTAAAAGACTTATCGAACACGGTAATTACTGCCCTGTTAATCTGTTAACTTTAGAAAATCTAAAGGATGATTAATTACTGATATGTGTGGTATTATTCATCAAAATGCTTTAATAAATTCGGTGCAAATACGAATTCAATTCGTACGAATTGTCTCGAAGTAATCGTCTTTTGATTGTTATGCGACATAAAAATGTTAGTAGGGTAGATTCTCTTTCTTAATTTCTATCAATTTGCAAATAATTTATTATCAAACTAATAATTTCAGAGATCCAACACGTACAGCAGTCAGCATTCGTACATCCCATGTTCTGGAGGATCCGAGTAGAGACTTTACCTACACAGATTATCAGTGCAGATGGAGCTAATGTCATCGTCAAGGCCAGTGGAAAAGTCTACTTGCCAGTCCAAGAAAATCCTGATGCAAGGATGAGCGGCATGCCACAAGATGTAAGTGATCATGTTTAGAAGTGAAAATACGTTTTTTGTGGAAACAGAATTGAAGTTATGGTCTGGTAGAATTTGCACTCAAAATCAAGTTTGAATTTACTAATTTAAAGACTCCATGCTTAACCCTTCCATACCCGATTATACTTCAATTTCTTCATCATTTTGCCATCGGCAGAAAGATGGCAAGGAAAACATTTTGACAGGTTATTTTCCATAAATCCCATAGTATTTTAAAACACCTAGCCCATGCAAGTTACCTTAAAGTTAAGCGATTACTTGGCTGCATAGCATATACAGCATTATAATAGGATAGCCACTGTTGCATTTAAGTCAGCTTGGTTTCAAGAGTATTGCACAATATTCCACATCTATTAGACTATTTAAACCTTATACTAACTGGTGTTTTACAAGTATACCCACCTAGTACTACCCCTACTTAATTAACATAACTTGAGTTTATTGCAGTTCAACTTTGTGGGGAGGCTACTTGGACCACGAGGTCTGACTCTGCAGCGTCTGCAGGCGGACACCCGAACAAAGATGACCGTTCTTGGTCGAGGCAGCATGAGGGACAAGCAAAAGGTGCGACTTTAAACAAATGATTTTTACCAATCAAATCAAGGAGCGATTATATGTACTAGCAGGAACCCGTCTAACCCTAAAGTGGTGTCAAGACTCAAGAGACTAAAATAATTATTACCTATTTAATTCGCGTTTTTGACACCACTTGGGGGTCCAAATTTTGGGCTCTAAAACTCCTATTTCTTGGCCAATTTTTTATTTTTTTCATGCTGATTTGAAGGCCATTAAAGCATTTGACCCAGTCAAAAAAGTTTCAGTTGTATATCTTTTACGGTTTTTGCGGAAAGTCGTGTTAAAGTTGATGCCGTGGTGTCAGTAAAATGGCACGGATAAATAAATATATATATATCGTCTCGCTTTATATATAGTAAGATTATATGTACACTGCATATTATATTGCAGTAACTATAATCTGAGTGTTTGGTTTATATATTATATTGTTCTACAATTCAACTTACTTTTGATCTTGCTTCTGTGTAACATAAAGGGAAGAATACCCAACGATAATTTTCTATTCTTTATTTTCAGTCCTATAAATTCCTGCAGGAGGACGAATTGAGGAGCAAGCCCAAACACGAGCACTTGCTGGAGGAGCTGCACGTGCTAATTGAAGTAGAGGGAGCTCCCGGGGTAGCAGAGGCTAGATTCCATGCTGCTTCTGCTGAGATTAAACACATTTGTCTCCCTGTGGTACGTTACAAGCCCAAACACGAGCACTTGCTATCTTAATCTTAACCCAGTTTGACTAGCAGTACCAGTATTGCAATATAATAATGTTTTATGATAAGATATGAATCTGGGTGAATAATGGACGAGCTGTGATTTGGGCTAGTAGGCTATTTCTATCTCGTTATTGAGAATTTTGTTGTGGTATAAACTATTAGCTAAATTTGCCAAAGAGTAAATAGTTGGCAAATAGCGGTGCAAATTTGAAATTTTGTGAAGTGGGCGCTGACGTAACCGTCTTATAAAATCAAAACCTCCTATTTCTTTCGCTCAGAATTTTGAAAGAAGCAACAGCCCCTAAGCATAACCCAGAAGAGACCTTTACCTTAGCTTTGCCATAGACCTTATTCTGAGCCGGCCAATATTTCCCCAATACTAACACCAACAGTAATCTTAAAACCAAAATGACTATGTCCCGAATTGAGAAGTCGTGCTTATCTTTAATTGTGAGGTTCAGTATGATACGCTGGAATTAGCTTTAAAAGCATGCCTTATAATAGACCACATCGGTTTACAATGCTGATGATTGTCTTGTGCAGGACCCGCTACATGATCAGATAAAGAACGAACAGTTACGTGAGCTGGCCGTCCTCAACGGTACATTCCAGCCCGACTATTTGGGGGGCAACAGTTCCAGAGGTGAGTCAGCAATGTGAGGGAATGTGGGGGAATGTGGTGGAATGTGGGGCCAAGGGGAGGGGGGGATGTGGGGCCAGGGGGGGGGGGGGGGGGGGAGGGGAATGTGGGGCCAGTGGGGGGGGGGGGGCACATTTTAGAACGTCCTTTAATTATGCAGCTGGAAGCTAACATTTTCTGGACAAATGTCCAACAATTGGTGAGGGTAATTCCTTCGAGCTTTTCTTTAAATTTAATATTAATTTGCTAAAAATGTACTTTAAATTTACTATAGTCTGCAAAAGTTTGTCAGCTTGAGTAATACTCAAGCTGGTAAGTTAGGAGATGTTATCCCGGATGTTAGAAGATTATACGTAACATTCCATTAACTGCAAAATAAAACGTTTCAAATGTACCTTGAGGCTTGAACAATCATTCTCGAACTTTCGATAATCTCTATCGTGATGCTGTGAGCTCTCAGTCAATACTGAGACAGTACTTAGTTAGTACCACACGAGGATCACATCTGTGTTATTGTTATCTCAACAATGTCCTCTAATCCACTACTCTCTTTGTCTGAATACCAGCCTGGAACTAGTGAAACATCTTTGTAGTCCGTGTATTAGAGTTACCGTTCTGTAGGGAGGGATAATGTGTTGTCGACGTAGGCAACAGGACGTCATACAGTAATATGTCGTTATGTAGGACTACTTCCTCTAACCTTGAGAGATTCTACTGACAGATTGATGAGAACAGTATCCACTCAAAACCTTGAGCCTCTGTGTATTTAGCCCCACATTTAGTCCCAGTATTTAGCATGCTTAGAACTTCTAATTTGCTAGCACGACCGTTGACTTCAGGTCAGGATATTATGGTGGTAGTCAGATTGGATTGAGGGTCTGATCAAGCTAATCTGAATTTGGATAAGTACCTTGGGAATTAGTGGCTTATAAACTAATAAACTGACTGATCCTTTTTAGCCAATGACTCTGTTTTGGCATGCATACCAAGGGCCCGCAAATATCCCTTCAACTTTGATTGAGGGTTGCATTAAAAGCATCACATACCATCAACGAATCTAAACACTATTAACAATAAACCTTATCCTATCTAAACACTATCAACAGTAAAACTTACTGTACCTGGAACACTATTTGATTGAAAAGTTGAAATATATTTAAGTCTATTAACAGTTTATTTGACCCAACAACTGAAGCTAACCTGTTAACTCCCCTCAGGTCGTGTACAGACGATGACCTCCAGGATACCTGGTGGTGCAGGTGGAGGAGCTCGCGCGATGCGCCCCACCTCAGCGGGGGGTACCACAGGAGGCCCGGGTGGTGTCTCCACCGGGGGGCTCCCACCCACTTTCCCACGTAACGTACAAACGCAATTGTTGCGTAACACTAGCCCAATAGATCCGTTCCTGACTCCTGCCGTAAGTGCAAAACAGCAAGTGCCCTTCCTAAATGAAATCAGTTCTCTATTGGCCTCCTACATGTAATATCTACATGTATCAGTGTTGTAAGTTTATCTTTTTTTTACTAAAATATTTTATATGTTAACATGATTTGTTCTCGCATAATTTATGTAATTCATGTGATTTTTATTTAAAAAACCTGTTTATTCGAGGAGCCCTGAAATCAATGACTATTTCTATGATTGATAGCATTTCATTACATCTTACTCTTCTCTGAGACTATTGGAGCTTTGATTTTATGGCTCCTTGCTGAAAAACATCTCCTTTTTAAATTTGTCTTTCAAAGCATTTGTGATACACTGCCAAACTACACAAGTTCCATACAACATTCCAGTAACTACCACTGTAAAGGAAGAATTGCCCTAGTTTGCAATTCAAATTAATGCATGTAAATTTGAGTCTAGACAATGCCCGTTTAGAGTTTGACAGTGTACCTAGATGTAAAACAAGTTGCATTTATCTGGTCTGTTTGCTGCCAATAACTGATTTCATTAATATGTGCTTACCTTGGCTGCTGGACCTTTTCAAGCTGCACTTCATTTCACACTTCACTTCACATTCAAGTAAATTCCAATTATCAGCTGGTGTCTGATTCGTGTGCTAGTTCAGGCTTGTTATTTCAATCCTACCATTGACTGTGGCCCCGAATTCCGAGCTTAATCCTACCATTGACTGTGGCCCCAAACTCCGAGCTTAATCCTACCATTGACTGTGGCCCCGAACTCCGAGGTCAATCCTATCATTGACTGTGGCCCCGAACTCCGACCTTAATCCTACCATTGACCGTGGCCCCGAACTCCGAGCTTAATCCTATCATTGACCTTGGCCCCGAATTCCGAGCTTAATCCTACCATTGACCGTGGCCCCGAATTCCGAGCTCATAAAAGAGTATTTCCCTAATCTAGTTGCTCATAGATATATTGATTTACGTCATTCCCAACGTAGGGACGTATTAGATCAAGTTTCGTCAGTGAATTTCTCCAGTAGAAGAAGCCTTAAAAATAGCACCTTTGCAATAAAACGATTCCTCCCCCCTTTACATAATTCTCCGTTCTCATAAAAATTCAGTATTTTGGCTTCAGTTCTGTCATCATTTAACGTTAAAGTATAGTCTGATGTGCACACATGTTGAGCGTTGTTATGGTAACAACCGTTCTCTAGAGGATTATATTGACACATGATACCCTCTTATTGTCGCGATATACTGGCCGGCCTACTCGACCTCGTGAGACGAGATGGAAGTCAGGTAATTAGGTTTCTGTTACCCTCTCATTTGATTAGCTGGTCACTAGCCACTGCTACCAACTGTTCGGACATCCCCGGCTTTCCACCTACCAACGGGCATACGGTTCCCACCATTCAGTTCCAGCGTTGAGTTGAGAGATCATGACACAGTGGAGATACACTGTGACATAAGAGAGGGATTATAAAGGAGCAGGGTGGTAGGATTATGTGGGCGTTATTAATCCTCCCCCGGGATCATCTAGTAGTAGCTAGCTAGTTGTTAGTTAGTGAGGAAACTAATGAAGCATGTGTTGTTTCATCGCTAGCTGGATCCTAATGTTATATGCCTCATGTTATATGCAATGATTGTCATAATCCGTACCACGTGAAGTATAATGGAGTGTTTTATCTTTATAATACTAATAACATGGCGTGTTCAGGGTTTAATGTTAATGTTGTCGCACGTGCAAATTGTTATAAAACTATAAATCAAGTCTAGACGCGTGACTAATTAAACACTGATGTGAATAACAACCGATTGTATATCAGGCATTTAAATACACCGTGTCGAGCATAAACGTAGTCACTCATCATCTGTGGCCGTCTCATGCTGCGATAGAAGTTTTACCTCCTTTAATCTAACCTCAAGTCCCCGAAGTTTGGGCGGGATAGTTGCCCAAGAAGTGCGATATTTACCCTTATCCAAAAAGTTTTAAATTTCCTCGCAGATCAATGTTCCCTCTCCCCCTCCCCCTAAATTTCCTCTTTGGCGCCAAATTTCCTCCAAAATCCAAAATCTCGCAGATTATCTGCCGATCTGCCCTCTTTCTGGATGTGGGGGGGGGGGGGGGGGGGGGGAGGGGGGATAGTTGTACTCAAAGCAGGATCCCTCTAATGCTATAATCCTCTCTGTTTAGTGGTCCTAAATATAGTTACCTAGTGTGGACGTTTTGAATGTACTAACTGAGCTGCAGACCCAGTTCAGAGTCAGTTAGGCGGGGTTATAACGAGTGATTGTTCACATTGTCTACATAATGGACACGTGCAATGAGTTAACATAACACTTGTAGCCCTGTGAGCAGATATCCATATTGATGAGATGGGACCAGTTTAGCTGGTTGTATGAGGTGCCCCACACATTGTAGACTCTACATCCCACCTCCTTCCAGGCTGAGGCATTGCTCAGTCAGGAGCTAGGGTTAGGGGGTCATTTAATGAAGTAGAATAGAGATGGGATAAGAGGGTTAGGGTGCAAGTTTTGCCTCTCATCTTGCCTCCCACCAACAAACCATCAAACTTAGAAATTTAATGTCCGGACATTATAAATGTTCAAGTTAACACACTGCAGATCTATTTGCCGAAATGTTATCCAGATTAAAACTTTAATACTCCTCCTACACCTCTGTCTTACTCACAATAAAGTATAAACATAAATATCTGTTTCCCTGGTTACAGTCTCTACTCCTGATTCCGGTCATCTTGAAACTTAATCAACCCTACGAGCAGAATAGTAGGTAATTGCACCCTAAAGTCAGATCAAGGAGATCAACTGTTTTGGTTGCTCAAAGCAGACCAATTGTCGGCTGTATCTAGTTTAGAGGCCGCTAACTAGATGCTACTTGTCCCGCACTCTCTTTCCAACATGTCCCCCCCCAACAGCTGCCTCCTGATTGGTTAGAGTGCTGCACGCGACCTTGATACTGCTCTCTGATTGGTGGAATATTGTCACAGCAGGTAGCATTTCCCGCTATTTGATACGTTTCTGGGACTTCCACCGAACACATGAAATCTAGTTAACTTGGTTTCACTGCATTTATCCGAGTCAGAAACATCTAGAGTTTTATTGCGGTTCAAAAGTTTCTGGACTTTTTTCCGAAGATCATGGCGACGGACCATGTCACTGTTTTTATACCATGCCCTATAAACTTTAAAACATTACAGTGTATAATAATAGATTAAAAAAATGTCACTTTTCATTCGATCCTGACACTCTTAAGCTAGCTGTGGCTACTCAGCACTGAGCGCTGTGATTCAGCTCGGGTTAATGACTTGTTAACAAGAAGTTTCTAGAAACTTCCACTCTGCGAGGTTAGGGTTGTCACGCCCACTTAACAAGAGGGTTCTAGAAACTTCCACTCAGCGAGGTTAGGGTTGTCACGCCCACTTAACAAGAAGGTTCTAGAAACTTCCACTCTGCGAGGTTAGGGCTGTCACGCCCACTTAACAAGAAGGTTCTAGAAACTTCCACTCTGCGAGGTTAGGGTTGTCACCACTTAACAAGAGGGTTCTAGAAACTTCCACTCTGCGAGGTTAGGGTTGTCACACCCACTCCCGTCTCCCAAACGCCCACCATATCACACTAAAGTTTTGTGAGTCAACATGATGAGATCTGTCAGCTATGTAAAATGTAAATCTCCTGGAAACATATTGCTCTCAGCTCTGTATACAATGTCCCTGAACACCTGTAATACCCCGCGTTTCTCCTGCTTGTTCACAGAGAGAACACAGCTCTCTCTCCCTGAAAACCAGTCTGTATGGTGGATTAGAGGGCAGGCAATACACATTAGGCCCCGGCCCCTGAGGCTGGTGCGCAGTCTATGCAGTTCATTTTATAATTACTCTAGCTAGAGTGTGTAGTGTGTGTGGTGGGCCCCCAAGCGGATATAATTCCGTGTTTGTCACCCCTACCAAGTACCCACGCTCCTTACTACCGTGGCCTTCAATAAGGCAACCTCATTATTAAAAGGAAATCAAATTACGTGAGCAATTATTAATAGGTCAATAATTGTTATTAAATACTGTGGAGCTCATATCAGGACTGGCTGGTTTTAGTGTGGGGCTATCACACTGGTATCCTAATAACAAGACTTGCAGCAGCTCTTCTGCAGGACCTGTCATGACGTTGTAGTGACGTCACAGTGACGTCACAGTGACGTCACTAGTGGTAACGTGACCTGCTGATTATTGAGGTTAACCTGCGGGGGGAGTCAGGTTACAGTTCCCGGCCCCGCTCTCTTCTTATCACAATTAATTAGCTATACGTCCAGTGATAAGTCAACTTATAATTAGTGTTATAGCTGGAGAGGCAGCTCTTCGTCTTCAGGTTGATGGACAAGGCACAAGGTGAAAGGTCAAGATCTGACATGCTTACTCTATGATTTGAAGATAGAGTTACGGCTGTGAGAACAGTTTCACTTGTATCACCTTTCACATGTTCACTCTAGTTTTCATGCAATCTGGCTGTTTTCGTTATATTATGTTGATTGTTCTTAAATAAGTTACTTGTCATGGCCATTATATTATTATACAATTATAGGTAATTACTTATTAGTTTTTAAGGCACATCCGATCTCATAGCATGATACTGCTACTAATATCATAGCAAATATTACCTGTACCAGCAATGGACGTTATGAGACTGCAAAATTGTAAAAATCGTAAAATTAAAAAAAAGAAAAAAGAACAAAAAATAAAAAGAAAAGTAAACAATATCTAATTAAGTAGAAGGTAGGTACTACTGACCAGTAGTAGTACTGAAACAGAGACCCAACACAGCAAAAGAGCCACTGTCATTTCTTGGAATGTTGAGTTGAAACCAGAAGGAATGTCCATTTTTCACTGCTAGTTCTTTTGGTGCCATTGAGACAGCAGGTTACAGTGACAGGCAGTGGCGTAACGAAAGGGAGGGGGGGGGGGGGGAGGGAATCGTCGTTTGTATGTGGGACAATTTTGAAAAAATTAACTGAGGTACTAGCAAAACTGCGCGTTTTGCTCTAGAAACACACTTTTTTAGAGTTTTAACCGGCGTATCCTCTAAAATCACCTAATTTGCTCAATTTTAGGGAGGGGTGCCAAAAGGGGAGGGACGCCCCCCTGTTGGCAACGTTACGCCACTGGTGACAGGTATTGACTAAGGTTATATATTATAACAGGTAACTAATTGATACTGATAATCTATACCCCTAACAGCAGGTTTTAATTGCAATTACACTTTTTACTCACTTCTATTCAGGTGACGAAGCCCTGGTCTTGGTTCGGCGGTAACAATCACCCGCCCGGTCCCTCTTCAGGTCATCTCCGATAATGCACGTGCTGTGCGCGCTGCGCGCTACAAGACTCGCCAGCACGTGCACCCCTTTTCTCGTCACAACTTGGATTCACGCCACGCTAAATCGACCACATTTTTATACTGTATGTGCCACGTGGAGCCCAATTAAGAACACTAATTTCCCATGAACTGCACTGTTTGGTATAAAGTTATAATGAATAATGAATATATCATTACATCGCTGTAAGGTTTACTGCTAATGCTACGCAAATATACAATATAAATTAATTGGTAGTGTTATAGTGTTATCTTTACAGCCCTATTTTTCAGGTGCAACAGTTAAATCGTTATTCAGTTTAATAAAAACCCGTTTTCAATAATATATGCAACATTTTTAATATTAAAACCCATTGCTTACTAATGAAATGATTAGTGGAAAAGCCAAATCTCTGTATATTATCATCTAAAACTGTTAATATATTATAATAAAGATTGAGCAAATGTAATACGATACAGGGTCATAGTCATTTATTAACACAATCTTTCTTAAAATCGTATTATCAAAGAAAAGTTGCATTCCCATCGCACAAAGTTATATATCATGGTAATTGGTAACCTGGTAACCTGGTAACCTGGTAACCTGGTAACCTGGTAACCTGGTAATCTGGTAACCTGGTAACCTGGTAACCTGGTAACCTGATGTGTTCAGTTTGAATTAACGTTTGCTTTAACCTATAAACATAGATATAGTAGGGGTTTCACTTGCAAATATCTATGTTATCAAGCATTTAATTTATTCAAACTGATACAATATCAGCGGTAAAACTTAGTGCTTTGTGTTTTATACCAGTGTATCTTCCTATGTTAACGCTCTAAAATATCATGCTTAAAACGCCGTGGGTAGAGCACCCGAAACATATATTTTAATAAAAGCATTAAGTTAATAATATTGATTACACTCTCTGCTGGATAGTATGTCTCAGATGTATGTTTCTAAACTTGATATTAGTGGTTATGACCGGGGTATGTGTCCTTTTCACAAGTTACTATACCTCATAATAGGCTTGTAGCATTAGCTCGTATCTAGCTAACAGGTCAAACCGTATAGCTAGGAAGCTTTTGAAACTGACTATTATAAATCATAGTTCTAGTAGGTGTTTAGTATTTTTGTAACCACGTGATATATTTTAGGCTTTGTCTCATTCTTCCTTTGACACAAGTACTACATTCTACACAAACCCCGGATAGCTTTACTTGTGAGATGCTGGTAGTAACCATAGTAAAATGGCGATAGCTGGTAGTAACCATAGTAACTTGGCGATAGCTGGTAGTAACCATAGTAACATGGCGATAGCTGGTAGTAACCATAGTAACATGGCGATAGCTGGTAGTAACTAAGTAGTATAGGTCAGGTTTGCTATATTTGCTAAAACTACCTATTGCTCTGTCTGTTAAGGGTATCCTTTAGGGTCTAATATATCTACGTGTTTTCTTTTGCAATTTCATTGTGGGGAGAATATAAACCTGTGCTGTCTATATAATAGACCAGCTACATTATTTTTAAAATAATAGCTTATATGCTATATCATAGTATACGTAAATATCAATATAATAATAAGTAAGCAGTCAATAAGTAGTAAAGGATTAAAGTTGCCGTGTTGATAGTGAACCTTATTTAAAATGGGGGATGTTAGGGGTATTTATTTATTTCATTTTCTGTTACCATCTGGACGATGTAGATGTAATGTAGTTGTTTGAGTGACATTTATTTTATCAGCTGACCTTCTTCAAGTTGATATGACGTCATAGTTCATATGACGTCATAGGCTCAAGCAATTTAAAAATAAGGGACCCAATTTTAAGAACTGTATGTCATTTTAAGTGTTAATTAAATTTTTTCTAGAAATGTCATAATATAGATTTGGAATTTGTAATGCTTTGTGTCATTTTTTAGTCACAATGATAATGATATGTCACATAATTTAGTCACATTTTAGTACACTTTATCTTTGATCACTGTCCCATATATTATAACGCTCATGATTATTTTTACCACGTTGTTACGAGTTGCTTTTTGTACTTGACAGTATATGATATTTGATTATTTTTATAGTATTTTAGCGTTACATACATAATGATAGCTCTGACGACACCAAATTTGTAGTCGATAGTTCCATGACACGTGAAATTATATAATTAATTATAATTATGTAATTATATATGTTGGCTTCAATTGAAGATCTTATTCAGGCAGTTGCAGTAGTTATCATTATAAATATTATATTATATGAACTTTTGAGGTATTGATTCGAGTGAGAAGGTAGCAATTTTTGAACTTATAAAACTTTATCATAGTAATATTACGCATATTCTTTGACATTTTGTACCATGATGCCTAATGTTACAGCTCGCTGCTTATAGTCACAGTACACTACTGTTTAGTCTTACATTATGATAATAATATAGGGTTTTAGCTAAATCTGCAACTTTCGCTAACTTTATTATCCAATTAAAGTTAAATATTCTATTTTAACACAGATTCAGTTGATAAATATTTAAACGTAATAAGATGCGATGACGTATTTAAGCTTTATGATGTTGAAATGGGAGGGAAAGAGTGGTATTCAGTAATCACGGAAAGCCTCAATTCCGGAATATCGTATTCTCGGCAAATAGTCCCAGCACTTAAGTAATAAGTAATGTAGCAACAACTCTTTAAATTGGACCACTTAAATTGGACCACTTAAATTGGACCACTTAAGTTGCCTACTTATAGATGATTTCCAATTAAAACATACGAAAATGTCCCGTTAAAACAGCGGAATTGATTTATTTGTTCCGATTACCGCGTATCAGTCTAGTCTTTGACAAAAACAGTTTTTGTTGATTATCTAAAATAGCAATAAAACAACTTCGATCTCAAATTTGAGTCTATTGTACCAATAGGTTCAATAGGTAGACCGTACCAATGCAATCATTTTCATACTATAACAGCAGATTATGAAATGTGGGGTAGTAACAATTGTGCTTCAGTTAGTTGAGCCTTTTGTTGACATGCTCTCATTTTAAATCTATGTTAGATTTGCCGAAATGCACGCGATTATAACCGGTTTTGGGGCTTATCTGAATGCTTGTGAAGAATTAAAAATGTATTCAGTTATACAGATTTTTAAAACTATGGAATTGTTACCCATATCGGGACGGACAATATAAAGCACTAAGAACGTTAAGGTGGTTAAAAAAGAAATTTTTATCTCTAAAAAGTTTAAAATTAAATTGACGTTATGTATATGTTGGAAATTTTTACTTAAACTTTTTATCGAATCTTCGTAATGTTTAATGGAACTGGGAAGATCTGTCTTTATGAAGAAATAGCCCCCTGGTGCAGTCAGGCTTATTCAAAACAATTTAACCAATCTTTTGTAAGTTCTCTCTCAATCCAAATCTCTTAAAATCCAAATCTCTTAGAAAATAGTAGTACCTAAGATGACAAATCTTTAAAAATGGCCAACGTTGATCTTTTAACTTCAGCCCTGGCTGAATAACTAATCTGTATTCTAAAGAAATATCAAATAATAGTTGAGCCCAATCTACTAGTCATTGTCTGGATTCTATTTGACAAGTTGGTGTCGATAGAAGATCAATTTTCTTCAAAGTCGGCGTCTTTAGAACCACTGGCTAATCATTCATCACCACTGACAGCCAAATACGATTTCTTAATGCTCCGAGCAATTCTGTTCCTCATCAGTTGCAATTCTGTCACAAACAGAATTGTCCCAGTTATTTCCACTGAATTCATTCCTGAATTCCCATTCCCAAAACTTATTTTTAATTCTGATTTGATTTTACTTTCGCCCCCTCCACACCATAACTGTTTTTATTCCACCAGCGATATTTCGCAAGAGGGAGTACACTGCTGTAAAGACTGTTCCTAAAGCCAGGAAATTGCGTGGTGTCGCGACATTGGGGAGTAAATTAATCAGTATTTCAATAAACCGTCTGAAAAATATAAGGTCCCGTAGGATTAGCAACATATTTCATACTCTGATCACAGATAGACACTGTACGAACATGTACTACAATATACAAGCATAGATTAGTGAGTAAAACCAAGTAGTATTATACGACCAGACCCAGAAATAGATACCTGTACAGTATATCCTGCCAATTCATGAATTGAAATTACAATATTGGGAGATTACATTATCCGCTAAACAGTGTACTCTGTGTTTAAGAAGGTTAATCCTAAGCTTTAAGCCACTATGCACAGTACATATTCCACTTTCAGCCGGCCCGTTTAAAACTGTCCACACACATTTGCAGATTTTAAATGGCTCTCTCACCACTCTCTGTAGCGGATCTATGTTGAAAATGTCAAGTCCACTGTGAGCTTTCACTCGTAAACTGCTTCACCAAATTAGCAAATCTCAAAATCAAATTGGCACCTCTGACCGGATGTAAGGCTGTATGTAATAAAACTGTTATTTAAGTTACTCCAAATACGGTAGTGTTGTAAAAGAGCTTCTAACTCGGCACACTTTAACACAGCCAGATCAAAGCAGGATAATACTCGTGGAGCAACTGTTTATTCACGTAGTAACTCTGAAATACTCATCTAAGTGCTGTTTGTATCACGGTGTTAGTTCGTTTAACATCAACATGTTCCCCTTGCTTAACGAGACATTACCATAATATCTTAATCATCCGTTTCTATTTTTTAAATGGTAAAACAGTAAAACAGTAATACGAGAGTCAACTGCTGGCCGATTAGCTAATAAATATAACACCAAATTCGGTAAATCACCGGAATGCTCCACCACTATTACAAATATTAATCACAAAGTAAAATATTCCACCATGATAATTTGAACTGCACCAGGGAGGAGGCGGGTTGGATTTTAGTGATGGGGTCACGTGACAGCCTTATATGGTAATAGGTCACGTGACAGTCACGTGACTGCCTTATATGGTAGTAGGTCACGTGACAGAAGGCGGGTTGGAAGATGTGAAGGACCTGCTGTAACTTGTGTTGCTCTATTTTACTCTTAGATCTAACGGCTAAATGTATCATTAGATGATTATAGGATATTAATTTTGTTGATAAATAGACAGGCTAACTCTTAATAATATAACCCATGTAACCTCACCCTGTTTTACTGATCTCCCACAATAATATTATATCTTTAAAGTTCCACAATATAATCAAACACAATTTATAACTCTCTTTCAAAAACGATAATATTGTTTGTGGATATCTTGTTTCTTGTTTATGTTTCCCTTGCTAACTCCTTCACATGTGACTAGGGTGCAGGGATGAAGAAATGGTTGATAGTAGGCGTGACCATCCTGGGTATGGTCTGCTGCTCAGGTACTCTCGCTAAAGTTGGGGTCTTTATTCCCGGACTTCTTCTCTTTTGTTATATCTGCAGTAGGACTACTCGCCTCTCTGCTGAGCAGTACAGAGAGGGATTCTACAATAAGGTTTGTTTTTACATAACTTAATTGTATATTTAAGTAAATATTGGTTAAGTAAATTAAAATTAGTAAATTGCCAAATTAAATTGGTGCATAATTGCCTTTTATAGTTTAAGAAGCGCCGATGCAGCTTCTGATTTAATTAAGTGAGGGGCAATTAAAATTTTAAATAGTTTCATCTTAAACGTAAGTGTGTAATAAACGTTAGAATTAAGTTATAATAATATGTTGAACTGTTTCCCACTGATCAATATGTAACGTTAGTGATATAAACTAACAGCCCCTCTGTCTACAGGTAGTACTACTTTGTGGTGCTAGCTCGGGTATAGGGGAGGAGTTAGCGTACCAGCTAGCCTCCAAACACTGCCAGCTAGTCCTGGTGGCCCGGACTGAAGCCAAGTTACTTCGTGTTAAAGAGGGGGCTCTGAAGGCTGGTAGTCCCCGAGTAGAGGTCATCTCTTACGACTTCAGCAATGTTAAGAAGTGTGTCAGCACTGTCCTGTATAAGACTATAGAGCTGTATGGGAGACTAGATTATCTCATACTCAACCATGGTCTCATGCCAAACGGGCCCTTTCTGGGCTTCCCAAAGCAGCAGGACCCTGAGTTTATACAGAAGATCTACAACGTTAACGTGTTCAGCTACATCCAGCTAGCCACACACGCTATCCCCCATCTGGAGCTAACAGGGGGGCACATACACGTGACTAGCTCTATGGCTGGGGAAATACCTCAGATTATTGGGGGGCTTTACTGCGCTACTAAGCACTCTAAGAACGGGTTCTTCTACAGCTTGCAGCAGGAGCTTATCCACAAAAGATCTAAAGTCTCTCTGAATATCGGGGCATTTGGGCTGATAGTGACGAGGGAGATGAAGGATGTGATTATGAAGAAGATGAACATGCCTAAGTTCCTGCAGGGAGACCTGAAGAGATGTGTGCAGGTTATATTAGACAACCTGGTGCGCAGAGAGCGGACTATCACCTTCCCACCCACCAACATAGCCTTCCGCTTTAACTGGTACCTCAACCCTTTCTTCCACGAGTTCTTCTTGGCTGGTATCACTGATTATAACTCCCTAGTTAAGAACCACACCACTATCCACGAACAGTCCGCTAAGACTGGCTACCAGAAAGGCAGCTCTTAGTAATGCTACTACTACTCCCAGCTATGCGGTGTGCCTCAGGGATTGGGTCCTGTTAAGTGTTATGTACATCAGTTATTTTATGTTTCAACGAATTGACGGAACAATTTATATATAATAATCTTAAACATTTTAAATTTGGAGTTTATTTATTAATCAAACCACCGATCCAAATTTGACGTAAGTATGGACATATTTAATATATTTTTGGTTATATTATTGCGATATACTTGTCGTTTCTCGTGGTTAATTCTACATGATGGTACTAGTTACTAGTTGATAGTCACGCATAATTAAATTGTAGTCTAAAGGAGATATTTATATAATATCTGGATACTAGCGAGCTGAGTAAAGTACTGTGTTTACAGTACAATGTAGATGGATCTAAGTACTAAGTAGGTATAAACCTTATTTTTTCTGACGATTAAATTAATGATTTACCAGCCAGTTTCAGAGTTGATTAATCAAATTTTCTGTCACATGCCAATACTAATTATATGGGTCTCATACACTCCAGTGTTCGGATCTACTGTTTAATGCATGATTTTATTTAAATTGGTAATGTGATTATTATTTATTAAGATATTGTATAAAATATTGTTAATTTTGATTTGTTGAGTTAAATTTGCCATTGTATTTGTAATTTCATTTAATATTGTACAGTATTTAAGTATGTATTATAATATGATTAATCTTGAAATAACCCATTTAATTAATCTGTCTCTTTAAATAACTTATTGTCATTCAATATTCATCTTCAACTGACTGAAGTTTTAAATTAATTGTTGTATTTATTTGATGTTATGTTGGGATTTATCAACTTATCAGTAATTTATTACCTAATAACTTGGATTTGATTGTAACATATTGTTTGTTTATTAAATATAAACTTTAAAATTTCTTCATAGATTGTTCCTTTTTGTATAATGCCATATAGCAGGAATTTATAAAGCTGTTACCGTATTCTAAGCGAACTTTGGTAATAAATAAATGTGATAATCAGAATTTTTCACGGTGTACAGTGGTGATGCTCCCCCTCACGTACCAATCTAGTTAAAGGTAACGTATTTATAAACATCTAATTATAGCTCGCTTCTCATGTTTGACAGATCCGAGGGGGCTCCACTTCCATCGTATTTCTACTTAATACAGTTTTACCGAGCTCATTTAACGTTGGAGATTACATTATTTTGATGTCGCCTTATGGCCTTAAATGATTATGGTTCTGGATGTACAGGTGTCTTAGAATATAATCCCCAAAACTGGAGATTAATAAACTGCATGGTTTAAGCAGTTAGAATGTTACATCCCACTGCTCCCCATACTATAACCAGAAGTAATGGTAATATTAAAACACACTCTTGTATAACACATGCTGGTGAGAGTGTGAAATGTGGAACAGATAACGACCCTGTTATCCAGCTAAGCGGTTCCCGGGTCAGGCTGAGAGGGCTCCAAGTGAGAGGGCTGGTGCCGGATATCCTGGCTCTCCTACCCGCCGCTCTGCTATTAACTGGCTCGGACAATGATATTAGCCTGCTGATGGACGTGTAGGCTCCCCCGGCACTTGTCTTCAACAATACACATCTCTCCTGCTGTATTGTTATTCAGCAGCTTTGGCAGAGAGAATGGTGCTCTTAGCGCCTGGTTATTAGGAAGCTTGTGGTTTATTCAGTACCATGGATTTCATTGGCTCCGTGTAGACGGTGAGAGGAGAAATGGGGCCCTTTAACAAGAGCTCCCTTATCTCAAGGCTCTCTCTCTCCTCATCACTGAGATCTGCATTTAGAAAAGCACCCCTACCTATAGAGTATGGGACCTATACCCGGAGAAATGTAATTGTCAGAATCTCTTTGTTAACAGCGCGATCTGGTGGCCAGATTACAAAAACAATTTTGGAGAGGTGCTACAAAACCGTTTAAAGGGGCCCTCTGAGCACGAGCCTTTTACTTGTGATCAGATAACAACTTATCAGTAGCCTCACCACATTGTCTCCTCCCCACTTTGCCATGCTTTAACGATTAATCTAAAATCATGGACTTGCCTCTGCTGCTAAAATTAGAGCCCCGCTTTGAAAAGAAGTAGACTAATGCTGAGGTGCTAATATTTCACTCATCCTGATCGTCTGGGGTTGGTAATAGCTCTGAACTTGTAGTAAGGGTGTTTAGTAGAATATCTACGGGAGGGTAACCACTGACCAGTCACCATTTGACCATGACATGATGGTACATTTCTGGGGAACATTACCCTGATTTCCACACAACGTGCAACAAATTTCAACAAAACAATGTATTTCTGATATATTTCAGCCTGTAATGTCAGAAGGAGACGGTATAGTGTGGGAATAATGTGGCTGTGTAGACGAGTAGGCTCATGTGAAGGAAACATTGTCTCCTTCATAAAGAATGCAATGTAAACACACACAATGTGCTACAAAAACACTGGTTACCAAAAACAAACGCATCTTTTAGAATTCACAGTAAAGGTAGCAACTATCAGTCAAGGTAGCAACTATCAGCCATAGAGCCGATGCCCGAACCTAGATATGGTTAGCTTCGCTATGCCCGAAACCACCTTCACGACTATTTCTGAATATTTGAACTGCATTCCGTGTAGGTAATTGGCGACTAGTAAAATGTATAATCACTCTAAAGCGGCATTGAAGTCTGATTTTCTGCAGAATCGCCCGTACCTCAACAAGTCTCAAGAAGAGAAAATACTGAAGTGGTGAATGTTTGTTTGTTTGTAGAGTAATGGATGTTGAGAGGAGATTAAACCTGTCGGTTACTTTGTGCGTCTCCCATGATAATTGCAACACATATAACTCACAGGAGGATAATTTGCCATAAAACGGGTTAGGAAGTTCCCCTAATTTGCTACCCTGATTCTCCTCCCCCCTTTTCCACAGACGGTATGTATGAGATGTAGCGTGTAGTAGCAGGCTGTGTTATACGTGCAGTCAACTGGTACACGGTTAATAAATACGAGCAGGCGCCAAAAAGCCGTCCTATTCTGCCATGGGGGGCCTGCAGATTAATATCAAGCGTAGTATGTATTGCAGAGTATATGCAGCAGTTTTATATATACTTAGGATTATATGTATATATTATGCAGCCTAACTTATGGGATATCTCAGATGTCGGGCCTTGATTTCGGGGGGCGGCGGCGGTAACAGAAAGTAAGTTAAAGAATTAGTAAGGTATATGGTTAATATTACAGTAAGTTAAAGAAAGGTTTCTGGTGAATATTAAATTATATGGTTTAAATATTGATCACTGGGATACGAGATTGCTTTGTGGTGTATCCAGCATTTCGTTTGATCTGGACATGATATTAGCAATTAGCGCGGCAACCGCTGAATGGCATAATATTAAATAGTTTACACCGTCGACTCAACCCAAGCTTTACAACTCAAATATGTAAAATGTACACTTTACCTAAACAGATCTGGTATATTCTGCTGAGATTTACAGGTCCACACAGTGTATATAATATACAGACAGTAGGCAGAGTGTGTAGAGCTCCACGCTACTGCCATGTACTAGACAACTCCCTATTAGGCAGCCTGCCTAGTACAGTATTAGGCAGCCTGCCCAGTACAGGGTACTGCAGCTCACTCTCCCCGGAAACGCAGTCACACAATATCCCAATTTCATCCTTCTCTGTCAGTTTAAATGGGTAACGTCAGGGTAATGTCAGTGTATAGTAGTAGTACTATAATATGAAATACAGCTAGTACAATGGCTTATAATATGTGCAGGGTAAAGTAGGTAGATATAGGAGCCTGTGTCTGGAACAGCTAGTACACAGTTCCTGTAACGACTAACGGTACATTTTTACGGTACACACAGTACCGTGCCCGCCCATGGTACCGTGTCCATGGTACCGTTCCCTTGGTTCTGCGTGTGTAATGTGTGTACCGTGTGTACCGTATTTACCGTAAAGTTGTGGCACAGGTACGGTGTAGTATCTGGTGTTCGATAATTGATTCATGTCTTAGCACCTACTGTGTGACTGCAGTCTAGTTTGGAAGGATATTGAATATTTATGTTTTGCGTGTACTGCTGATCATCTCAAATGTGTCAATTAATTACATTACTTGTGTGCGGCAGAACACGGGTGTTGTAAATTGAACTTGTAAACTATTTGAATGTAAAGTATTTTTGACAGACAAGTATTCGGCCGGATTGTCTGCGTACATGTAACACGCGTTGTGAACCTTAGCTCAACAGTAAGCCAACTTTGTAGAGTTATACTCCCGACAAGAGTTCATCGATAAAGGGAGGTAGTTAGTACCTGATGTTATACATGCAAAAACATATTTACTAATAAATTGCTGTATAAAATTTGACTTTATTTATATAATATATTTATACATGAATAAAGCTAATCATTTGCCTCACGTACACTCTCGAAAAGTCGCTCCGAGAAATAGAATAATCACTCTGGGAATCAAATACCTGGCGTCTCAGACATTGGAAGGGGAGGTGACAAAACGCCTGGCCTACATGTCTGGCTCAGTTAAAGAGAGTGCCTGAAGGTCGACTATCCGCATAATAACAGGCTTTACTAACATGTTATACTAATATGCGTCAATAATATATATGCAGGCAGGGTTTAATAAACGTGCATGACGGGCTCCTTCAATCCTACCCTCCCAATACCTGTACAGATCTACCAGCTGTCTGCTAACTCAGCGCCTTCAATCCTACCCTCCCAATACCTGTACAGATCTACCAGCTGTCTGCTAACTCAGCGCCTTCAATCCTACCCTCCCCATACCTGTACAGATCTACCAGCTGTCTGCTAACTCAGCGCCTTCAATCCTACCCTCCCAATACCTGTACAGATCTACCAGCTCACAGCTGTCTGCTAACTCAGCGCCTTCAATCCTACCCTCCCCATACCTGTACAGATCTACAAGCTAGGCTGTCTGCTAACTCAGCGCCTTCAATCCTACCCTCCCAATACCTGTACAGATCTACCAGCGTCCAGCTGTCTGCTAACTCAGCGCCTTCAATCCTACCCTCCCCATACCTGTACAGATCTACCAGCTGTCTGCTAACTCTGTGATATTCGTTAGTTATATGTGAGGGTTGCACGCCCCTCCCCCAAAATAGTGTTCAATCTGGCCTTTCTCGCAAATACTCATGTCAAAAGTTCCCAAGAGCTGTGCAAATTTTTTTCGAAATTAAAATATTTTATACAATCAAACTTATGTAGTAATGCAACCTGCCTGTTTCAAATTGATAATTGACTAAGCAAAAGCAAAAGTTTAGAGTCATCTACAGTTCATGATATTTGTATCTTTCAATTAATCAAGAGTAACAGATTAGGGTACTCAAAACTCAGCTCTGCTCGCTTTAGGACCCTTCCAAGTCAGAATAAAGCTGCGTGTATAGGCCTGTCCCTAAAACATGCAAGGAGCGAGCACAGCTCATTAATATACATGGGATACATCCCAAGCTACTTATTTCTAGTAATGGTACCTTGTACCTTGCCTCGTACCTACTGAATTAGTAAAACATGACCTCTAGATTAAATATACTGTATTACTGTGTATTACGGTGGTTCCGCGAACTTCAATATACAATAGCAGACATGATTAACCATACTGTCCCAGGTTGAAGCTTAATATTATAACTGGGGGGGGGGGGGGGGGGGGGGGGGGGGGGGAGGGGGGGGGGGGGAGGCGGGGAGATCATGAGTATTTTTAAGAGTCCCGAAGAAAATGGCCAAATTCTCATTCTCAAAAATTATTTTTGCACGTGATGAGGAGTATAGTGAGATAGTGAGGGGTACTCCTCTACTACCCAGTAACTGTCCATGTCCCCCCTACCAAGTAAAGTACATGAGCTGGATATAGTAATAGCCTGTAAATTGTTAGCCAGTGGTAATCATTAG